CAATCCCCCCATCCCCCGCCCTCATCACCATCTCAAGAATCCACCATACAGTACGAGTGAGTGCGTATGTATTAAGATCATGTACTCATGTACTCATGTGCTCCGTATGATGTACATCCACTTACATCCACCGCTGAGAAAGACACTCGGTCGGGCTGGTCGTCGTCCGTACATGCAAGCCCAGGCCGTTCCTTCCTCCTGGGTGCCTCGTGCTTTCCCTGTACCGTGCCATGTTATCGCCTCCCCCGAGCTCGCATATCGCCCCGTCAAGAGCTCCGTCGACGGCCAGGTTTCGTGCGTCGAGGCCATCTATGTAATTCGGAATGACAGATAACAAGCCGTTGGTGCTGGAACGATGGAAGCGACGCTGTCTGGCGCAATAAAGAATAAAGGCATTGCACAAGACGGCCAAGACGAGCAACACGGGGACGCCAACCGAAACACCTCTCCAGCCCGCTGCCTGTGCTCGCGTCCTTCCGCCACGCGCATCCACCCCCAATCCACTCCAGTCGTCACGAAAACGCCAGACTCAATCCAGCAGACCACACCCCCAACCGGGTCCCGTCTTTCGTGCCTGTTTTGCCTCGTCGGCGTCCAGTCACCAGCGTCCAGCGGCAAGCATCACAGTGTCCTAGTCACCGTCCGCCGGTGCCCAGGCCCGCTGGGTCAACTGGCCTTGCCTGCCTCCCCCGGCCACCAAACAGCCAGACGCCCCGGGCTGCACGCCCAGGCCGGCTGCTGTAAGCAGGTCGCTTCTTCTGCGGCACAAAGCACGCGAGGGCTCAGGGTATTCAAGAGCACCGCGCTCGACCACAAGGCACCTGCCTCCCTCCCTCCTCCGCTCGCACCTCCAGATCCAGTATAGATCCATCGGCACCACGCTCAAAACAGCATCTCCACCACTTTGTTCCCTTTTCAGTCAACTTTCAAGACGTCGACTTGTACAAGAGCTCATTGTCACTTTGCACAGCTCTTTTTGCTGCAAAAGTGCTTCATCTTTGGCCTCGTCGCGCTCCAGCCAAGTCCTGCTGTGCGCGAATTGTCCGATTGACTTGGTCATCGTCCCGTGGATCTACTTGGTCGTCGATTGCTGTTCCTCCCGCCACCCGACTTTCTCTTTCCTCATCATCCCAGGAACTCACAACCGTGTCGTAAAATCGACAGCTACCGCGTTGGACCCTTGAGCTTGATCCAAAGGAGCAATAAAATAAGAAATCAGCAACAATGGCCGACATTACCGACCAGCACGACCAGACCTCGCCTACCGAGCTTGAAGAGTCGCAGTCGGTTGGCAACGGCAGCGCCGCCACAGAGAGCCGTGGCATCAAGCGCCAGCGTCAATCTGCCGGCGACGACGACGATGACGACGACGAGAAGGGCGGCCGTGAGCGTCGCAAGATTGAAATCAAATTCATTAGCGACAAGAGTCGCCGTCACATTACCTTTTCAAAGCGCAAGGCCGGTATTATGAAAAAGGTTCGTCCTCACTTGACTCCGGCTAAACCCCCATCCATATCTTCGCTCCTGAAAAGACGACTGCGTTGCCGACATTTGGATTTACCATCTCATATGAACCTCAACTTCGTTGATTCGTCATCATTCATCGCGTCACGCATCTTGCTCCAAGCCAAGATGCAAATTTATGCTTGACCAAATTGGTGGTGGTTCGCATTTTGCTGACTTTTTGCACGCAGGCATACGAACTCTCGGTTTTGACCGGCACTCAAGTTCTCCTCCTCGTCGTGTCTGAAACGGGCCTCGTCTATACCTTTACCACCCCGAAATTACAGCCGCTGGTCACCAAGGCGGAAGGTAAAAACTTGATTCAGGTAGGTCTATATCTCCGCATGCACTGGGCAGCAACATGCACGGATGCACCGCTTGTCTGGCGCTTTGCGCCGTCGAGTGGACCGTATTTTTTTCGGTGTTCCAACATTGCGCTTGACACTCGAGATAACCCCCCCCTTCCTCTCACTTGATCAATGCTCCGATTACATGCTTTTTTCACTTGGCATTGCTCCTTCTCATCACTTCTCCTTTATTGTACTTGGGGGAAACGCAATACGCTAACCTCGAACTTTCTTCCCAGGCATGTCTCAACGCTCCTGAGCCTACGCCTGGCAATGAGAACGGTGTGGACGGTGGCGATCAAGTTGAGTCGCCCGAGGATTCTGCCGCACAGCATATGCCTCCTCAAGGCGGCAGACCGGGCATGCCGCAGAACCCTCACATGCCAGGAAATTACATGCCCAATATGCCCATGGACCCTCAGCAGGCTCTCGCTTATCAGAGCTATGTACAACAGCGCAACCAAGGTTACGGCTCAGGAATGCCGCCGCAGGGAGGCATGCCGCCTAGTAGCCACCACCAGTCATGATTGGGATGATGAGCAGGAGTAAAATATTGTAAGGTTGCCGGCTGGATAGAACACAGGCGAACTTTGGGTGCAGCACATGACACACCAGCGGTAAACCTTGGCCATATCTTCTGGACGTTGCTATATTATTTTGCGGGGCTTTGGTGATTTGGCGTTGATGACGTGTTGGGATGCTGTTTTTTCGTCGCCTCTTTTTTTTCTTTTCTTCTCAAAAAAACCTCGGTTTACAATTTGTCTGGACCTTTCTTTGTGTCATCAGAAAACCAAAAGAATTTCTCAAGTCGCAAGGATTTTTCTTTCCTGAGCCGTCCTTTGCCATGATGATTCTGTGGCAGTGCCGGCGTTGATACCGTCGAAATATGAATGGATCTCATTCCTCCTCGTCTTTAGCCTGTCACCTGGGGCACTGTTATGTCTTGGGGATCAATGAGGTGGGTTGGTTGGGTGTGTTATGGGATGATTGCGATTACGCACCGAACGATGTGAAGCGAGAATCACACAAACTGTCTTGGTGACTGCTGAACTAGTCACTGCATGTTCAAGGGCGGAGTCTGTGGTTTGACGCAGATGAATGCACGAGGGTACGAAATTTTTGACGACAGGGCGGTGGAAACAGTTCTAGGTCAACCTGGACAAGTCAAGAATACCGGAACGTCTTGCGGAGCGGTAACCAACCGCTTAGGCCCTCGTTTCGACTTGTTTTGTCCTGCCTGGTTATGTGGTTCATTCGCTCATGGACCTTGCCTTCTTTGTTCTCCGTCATTTTTTTCATTTTTTCATTTCATTTTATCTAATTTAGTACCTGACGAAGTGGCGGCAGTGGTTGATTTACGGAAGAGGGGTCGATGGTAGTCGGTTGTCGGCCAAAAAAGTGTACGATACTTCCTTTAGTCCCTTATGTAGTAAAGTCTACTCCATAGAGAAAAGACTCGAGCAAGTGCGTCTACGCTATTTTTTTGGCCTGTTGGGCTACCTGTTTGAGAATGGTTAGTGCGTCGGTGATGTTGCATGCATACGAGACCGGCCCCCTCCCAACATGATCCGGGCGTGGGTGTTTTTGGGTTTTTGTTGTCGAAACCATATCCAGATACGGCAAAGGAGGAGCTGAAGGTGATTTTTTTGTATCTGCAAGGCTGAACCAGATTGCTTAATTTGGGCGCTGGGGCTGCACAGGCCGATACCAAAGAAGTAACAATCACCCTCCCCGACGCGCTTCGCATGGCCCCTTGGCGGAAAGTGGCCGCCATGCCAGATGGAGTAGTGGCCGCCATACCCGACTTGGACAGCTTGAATCCGTGGGCGAGGATATATCCAACGCGGACGGGTATATAAACTATGAGAGAGGTGTCGATTCTTGGTAGTAGGTACGTGTGTTGTTTTTGACTAGTTTTTTTTTTTTTATTTTTTTTTGGTTTTTTTTTTTTTTTATTTTTTTTTGGTTTTTTTTTTTTTTTAACTTTCTATTGCTTTTTTTTTGTTTCTTTCTCGTTGCCGGAACGCGTGGCGCAGGAGGGTGTCTGCGAGGAGAGTTTGGGGGGGTCCGACGACCGCACCAGGAGCACTGCCTTTTTGGGGACGGAGCCGTGTCGTGATTGGGGATTGCTCGGAACGGGCCACCCGACGGGGGTTTCTGGAGTTGGACGGACGGGGTTGGCGGTGCTGGTGTGTGCGGGTTCTGTAGGACTTTTTCAGGGAGGTTCACGGTGTGTTTTTGAGCTTGTGGTGGATGATATGGGGGAACGATGCTTGTCTCTTGGAGTGGCGGGTTGGAACTGTTGGGTTTGTACAAGGGCGATTTACCCGGGGTGGCTCGGTGAGGAGGTGCGTGTCCATGGCTGAGGCGGCGGCCATGTGAGGGGATACGCGTTTATTGTTGGACTCGCAATTTGTCACGGGCGAAGCGTACGAAAAAGGTGCAATTCACTGGTAAAAGACCAAGCTGGTCGTGTATGTGCGGGTGAAACTAACCTCATAGTGGGTGAAGGGGTACTGACGGAAGTTCCTATAGGAAGTTAAAATCAACACAATAGATACCCACCAGGCACCGGTTTGAAGCAGCGATTAGGAGAATTGAACACCCAGCCAGCGTCAGTTCTCTCCCAACTCTACCTAGGTAATTCTGTCGTCGAGTTACGTGCATTGCTGTGCTCCTCTACCAAGAAGCGCTTAGTCATCACGTGGTGCCTCGGTACGGAGTAAACGTCGCTCCAGCTCCGCATGCGGCCTGGTGTTTGAGCACATTTGAGAAGGTTTTTTGTCGTCTGCCCACTTGGACAAATCCACAAGGTACCTGTACAATCGGTACTTGCTTTTTTGCGGCACCGCGACATTTTTTCTCGTGAAACTGCATCGCTTGTTTGTTCTCAAGGAGGGACTTTTGACGGAACAAATCGAGTTGCAAGTGAGTTGTAAAACAATGTCATTGTTGAATTTTTTGAAGCTCCATTACCTACATCCAGGTAGGTCTACGTAAAAAACACTGCTTGTATCCACGCCCGCTTATGATATGCTCAGCCCATGCGCCGTTTCGCCCTTGTAGTACCATCGCCCAGCCTGTATCGTGAGAAGCGACGGGTTTGGAGTTTCTCTAAATTGCATCACTCTAGGAGTATTGTATCCGGTGTCAATGCTCTCCTGCGGCGCTATAGCGACCGACGGCAAGACTGCCGACAAAGACGCCGGCGAGGACGGACATGAAGTAGCCAACGTTCATGGTCATGACTGCCAGCATGCTATACAAGACAGATGTTAGCTCTCGGGACTTCTCAGGGTATTCGGATTTCTCAGAATATATCGAGAATATTTGAAAAGTCAAGAAACAAACATACAGGAGATAGCCAACGCCAACGATGACAGTGTCCATGACAGCGCGCACGGGATCGACGCTAAATCGCCACGGCCTCGTCTCACACCCGGAGCGGGCGACGACAACGACACTCTCCTCGACGCCGTTGGCCGTCAGCGTCATGGGCTTGGCAAGCGAGTCGCTCGAGACGCGGTCAGACAGCGAGGCCTTGCCGTGGGCGGCCACGTAGCGGCGCTTCATGTCCTTGTCGAGCCAGCGGGCTTCCTGGACGCTCCTCGCGGCGAGCAGGAGGCGGCCGACGACGGCGAGCACGACGAGGAAGATGCACGTTCCCGCGTAGGCGCCCGCGCTCTTGGGAGTCCACGAGTCGGCGTACAGAGGCGTCGCCGTGTTGGTCTGGAACACCATGGCCATCATCGTAGAGCCCGAGCCCATGCCGTCCATGGATCCGGAGCTCGAGCCGTCGCTCATGTCCATGTGGTCTCCGTGGCGAGAGAATAGAGACATGTTTTTTTTTGTTTCCTGGCGGTTGTAGAAAGCAAAAGAGTTTGTATGTGTGGTGATCAAGTACTCGTATGACAAAGGGGGATTTGGTGTAATTGTTTGTAGAGCGCAATCTATCGGGAGGACTGCAGTTGCGCAGCCGGCGAGAACTGGTTAGAATTTATATATATGAGGATAATATAAAAACGAGGACGAAAAGCCATGCGCCGAAACAGGAGACGGGGTCGGATTATGCTGAAAGTACGCAGTATGGCCCTGCGAGTCTGATTGAGCAGGTTCTCGACACCGGTAGTGAAATGCCTCCGAGACACGAAACCGTGCCCAGGTAAGCCACGCAAAGGTCAGAAGAGAACAGCAATCCAGGTACGGCGAGACGGCCGGGAAGGAGAATGTTTGAGGAGAGGAAGGGAAGGGATTGCCTGCGGAGGAGAAGGAGCCGGGGGGGTGTTTAACAAGTCCATGCTGAGCATGTTGTTTTCCGTGCGCTACTATTCACGGGGTCCAAGTGTCGGGTGCTGCGTTAGCACGATGTGCTGGTGAATGGCGCCCGGGGCTGTTAGTGCCGCGAGAAAGCTCGTTGCCGTCTCGGGAACTCGACAAGATGTCGGGTCTGGGGCGACGTGGTGGGGATGCAAGGTACAGGTACTTTTGGCTGGTACCGCCCAACGTCACTCAACCACTCCATTCTTTTTCGTCTTCATCATGCACCTCGTTCGACCTTGATCCAGACATCGAGTCATCTGCACCAATTCGGCTACAGGCATTGTCCTTGACGTGAATTTACCTGCCGCTTCATAAATCTCACACAATAGAGCGTCTCTGAAAGAAGAATGACTGCAACGAAAGTACACGCCGCAACTTGTCCAACCCGTCCACCAGGTCCCTTTTTGGCTTTGCATCATCAACCACGATATAAACCACGTCGCAAGATTTGTGTTTCCCCTTTGCGACCCCGCGAGATGACTGCAATTCAATTCTGGATCGTAGGATGGCTGAAACGCCGCCAAACTAGGCTGGCTGTCATCGGGCTGAGAACGTGAAACGGCCGCACGTCTCATCTGTGGCGAAACATTCTCAATGAGAAGGTTTGATGAAAAGTTCAACTGCCATTGAGTTCTGCTACGATACTGTACGAGACAAGTGACACGTAGCCTTATTTTCTATCGTTGCTGGTGAAAAGTTGTGCAGAAATCTCTGTAGATTGTGTTTTTGCTTTGCATCTTGCATTCAAGTTCATCATCCAACGTCCTCCCCCGCCCTCGCAAGTCATTTGATGATCAAACTCTCATTTTAAATGATGCTCTCTGGAGGGTGAAACGATGTCTCCTGCGCGGGAAGCATATTTAAGCTATCCGTTAGTTCCGCGCCACAAGGCGGCAGAGTCAACGTTGTCAACACAATTACACTTGTTTGTATATAGGGGTTCAGACGAGAAAATTAAAGAAATGACTGTCGCTCGTCTGCGGAGAAGATGCTGGGAGTATAAATAGGAGTCAAGTCAAAGAAAGCGTCGTATTCGTCACCAGGGTTGGAGACGCCTTCAGAAAGCCACATGTCGGGGCTCGGTCACATACAAAGTCTTGACCTCATACGGTCGTTTTCAGGTTGATTTTACTCCTTTGCATGTCTTCTGGGGGTCTGAAGGAGGTCAAACCGTTCAGTTTCTAGGGTCGAGACGGAAACATTGTGAGTGAAAATGGCATGACTACTCCAACCCCGTCCTGCAAATGTGAAGCCAGGTATTTCATGTCTTCAAATTACTCAGCCGTATATTCAGCTCGGCACATGATTCATCCAACAGTGTTGGCGTGGCGCCTGCTGCACCATGTGGCTGTCTGCCTTTGTAAGAACTCGAATATCGGTCCTAGCAAGCCGCGAATCCTGACATAAAGTGCCTTGTCAGTGTAGCAACGTCCATGACTTCACGTCTAGGCACCTGCAACTTATTGCCGTCTACCTTGATTCTCTGCAGGAGCTGCATTTATACAATTAGAGCACAGGTATAGTACCACAAGTACCCTCTCCATAAGCCTAAAGCTTGTAAGAGAGTAATCAATAAAATAAAATAAAAGTAGCACACGTGCAAAAAGCTCAGAGCACACGTCACAAAAGGCAGGAGGTTGTGATTATCCAAAAGCAATTTCTTCAATTCAATTCATCGAAGTCGAGCGTTCTTTGCGTTATTCCTAAGAAAGAAACAGTTGATTGAAACAAACACATGAAAACGAAGCACACACAAAAAAAAAGAAAAAAAAATAGACTCGCAAGTGTGTTCCAGTCGTCGTTTCGTGGCGGCCACCAGGGCCGTATATCCATCTAGTCCATGCGCTCAAGGAAAGATTGTTGTACAGCCTTCATCGCTTATCCCGTCTCAAAATGCAGCCGTAGCTGCGAGCATGATATCCGTTGTTCCGTCGTCGTGATTTCGCCTCGAGATGAGCCCGCACCATGGCTATCGCAAGTTTGCATGTCGTTGTCGATGGGGTACAATTCCTTTCTCAAATCATTTTCCTCCGAATGCGTAGTGTTCGAGATACACTGCGCTCATCGCTTGTATCAAAGCGGTGCTTCCTCCTCCGTTCCTTCCGGCTATGATGTATGGCAGCGCTTGTAGTACACAGTGTTTGCGCACATTGCTGCAGTCATGATACTGGCAATAGCCGGCCGAAGTTGAAATGAATAGCGTCCTGATGAAGGCTTTCTTTTTCTTTTTCGTTTATCTTTTATGGTTGTTGAAAAGAGAGAGACAATCAGTTGATGAGTGCCTCAGCCGATTTGCAGTAAATGTGTTGCAGGTGTTGAGACCACAAGGTGTAAAGAGGGGACGAGAGCCAGTAGCAGCGGTTTCACATGCTTTGTTCTCCCGCGGCTGCAAGCCCTTGTTCGAGAATGAGTGAAAGATCCGCGAGAGTTGACCTGGTTAGAAAAACAACGAGGACGACCGGACAAGGAGGCCATGTATCGATCCTGTTCTTTGACTGTTCCAGGTTAATGGGCAAAAGTGTAGCAAACTCTGCCGCGTCGCGGTGCAATCCTTTGGTAGTTGCAAGGAATCAGCGAAAAATGCAAGAAATAAAAGGGAGAAATGAAACGACTTGACAAGTCTCGACGGCGAGACCGTCTCCGCCTAGGTCGCTATTCCTCCCTATCATCTATTTCTTCCTGTTTGCGTCATTGGCATGAATCACAACTCTTTCTGTCTACTGTTCGCTTTTTCGATTTTGTTTCCTTTGTGCATACTCCCGTCCTTTGTCTCTGACTGCATACTTCTATAATTCTCGCCGTCTCCCGATCCACCTCCATGCAGGTGCCGCACACATATCGGATGATTTCCCACTTACACATTCTTTGGTTTTGAGTTGTGCTTCGTGGAAGTAGTCCTGTATATGCCCGTTGTTGAAAGATATAGGGAGCCGGTTCGTTGCCTGGTCAGAGGTGTTCTGAAGCTGAAAAGCAGGTGATGATATGCTCAAGTGTCAGGGCCGAGGCGTTGTGATTTTGAAAAGCAGATGGAGGTAGGTGAGTGTGGGTATAATGATGGTGAGAAAGGTTTAGATTCCCCCTAGACTATGGGCGATGTTGCCATCCTTATATAGCCAGCCAAACGGCCTGGCGTGACGTATACCAGAGCCGTGTTCATCTTCTACGCGTTCAATAACCCTCGGTCCATCTTCTGGTCAAGTGTCTGCCTCGAGAGGAGTCTTCAGAGCTTACGCCGAGTAGGGGCTGTCAGTAACGCAGCTCTCCCATCAGAAATAACATACGGAATACGAACATGGACCGGTGGTCCGTCACTAAACTGAGAGAGTAAACTGCAAGTCAGCATTAAAACACAACCAGACAGCCAAAGAGCAGTCGTTGGTCAGCGGTGCTATTGTTGGTCCTGGGCATTTTGTTTCAGCGGCTGCTCCTGTCGAGGCCAGAGGTGTCAGCATTTTGCACATGTGGTGTGTTTGTTCCATCGTTGTCTTCATCGTGTTCAGTAGCCAGACGCGCGACTGCAGCTCACGGACTTGTCACATGAGTTTCGTAAGCGGCTCCTTTGACACGCAGCTGATATGAGGGATTCCTTTGTTACAAAGACGGGCGTATGGAGTCTGTAGCTGCGGCGAGCATTGTGTGGATGCGGCAGTTGGTGTTCAAAAGGGCCCTTTGACACGTGATCAATACAAATATGACATTCTTTTTTTAGGCAAGGACAAATCACACGCTTATGAAGTCGGTAGCTGCGGTGAATCTTATATAAATAGGGGAGTCGGTATTTAAAAGGAGCGGTTTTGACACGCAGTTGTCACGTCAAGTCATTTTTTTATACAAGCACGAATCACGTGTTTATAAAGTCCGTAGCCGCTGCGAATATTACATGAATAAAGTGGCAAGTGTTGCAAAACACACTTGTAACATGTAGTCGTCACGAACATGCCGACTCTTTTACAAGCATGAATCACACATTCACACATTTACAGATTCTCCTGCCACTGCCAACCCTGTACCAATGAGAAGTCGGTGCTCAAGCAAGAGTCTGCCTCTGACTGGCGTCCAATATGTCGAGTGATTCTCAACCACCACACGCGTACCAGGCGTGTCACCAAGCAGTTTCTCCCAACTACCTCTCTACTGCTCACTCACCCCATTCCGGTATCGAAACCATCCGTCTGCAACAAAATCACATGATGTACCTCTCCAATCTCCCTCTTAGCCCATCGAGACACAGCAAGTTGGCAAAACCAGCGTCGCCGGCATCATGCACGGCACACAGCGCTTCACAACAACAAAGACCGAATCCCTGGTCCCGGTCCAACGCCGGGCACGCAAACCCATGCTCCTCCGGACCACCAAACAAGCACACAACCCCCAGGAACCGACAACAACAAAAAAGCGCATCATCCGGAAAAGAAGTGCTCACAAAACAAAAACGGCAATCAACACCGTACCCACCCCGAGAAAAGAAAGCAGCTGTGGCCCGAAATACGGATATGTCAGCAGCATGTCACATCACCCAA